ACTATGTTTTTGTTATTTGGCCTTTGCACTAAGGACCAAGTATTGTTTTGAAAATGGGAGTTAAGTTCATCCTGTATAGCTTTCTCCCAGAAAGACCTGTCTTCACGAAACTTAATTTCATCAAATGTAATATCATTTAAGCATGTTTGAGTATTCATAAGACATTTTTCTAAAAATCGATATGATAATTTTGGTTTACTTTTAATTCTTTCACTGCGTCTGATTTCTTCCTCATTTTTGTTTTTATTTTCATTTGATTTATCACCAGTTTCAACAACTGGATCGGCATTCTCGAGATCTGTGGAATTTTCATTGAGTTGTTCATTTATTTCCGAATCAACAGATTTAATATTTTCCACCGAAGGAAAATCCAACTCTTCTTTCTCTCTATTTAAAGAGTCATTATTTGGTTCAACAGTATTACCTTGAACCACAGAGTCTTCTTCATGTATAACTCTAAATTTTAACATATTTATCTCATCCACCACAACATCTCTAGCTGTCATAAATTTCCTCGATTCCTCATTCCACAATTTATACCCATTTGGCTCATACCCGACAAGTATAGTTTTAATCGACTTTTCGTCAAACTTTCGCTTTCGAACTTTGTTTAGTGCATATACTGTCGAACCAAATATCTTTAAATATTTTAATACAGGCTTTTTGTTATGCCACATCTCAAATGGTGTTTTATTTATATTTTGCAATGCTCTACTTGGGGATCTGTTAATTAAGTATGTTGCTGTTAAAACAGCTTCCCCCAAAAATATTTATTGATTTTAGCACAATTAATCATAGAGCGAGCCTTTTCGGTGATTGTTCGAATCATCCGTTCTGATACACCATTTAATTGTGGAGTATGAGGAACCGTTAAATGATAGCTGATGCCTTTTTCGACACAGAACTCACGCATTTCATTAGAAAGATATTCCCTTCCATTATCGATATACAGATTTACCATTTTCAAGTTAAAATGAGCCTCACTCTTTGCAACAAAATCTTTGAAAACGAAAAATACATCCGACTTATATGTTACTAAGTATGTCACACAGTAGTGAGTATACTGATCAATAAAAACGACATAATAGTTTTTATTATCAACGGTAGGGGGTGTGATTGGACCACAGACGTCGGAATGGACAACAAATAGCGGTCGTGTTACATTTTCTTTATTTTTAAATTTTTCAAATTTTAATCTAGACTGCTTGCCATTTATACAAGCCTCGCATAATTCATGGGTTAACTCAACATTGTTTAAAAGCTTAATATCTTCAAAAAGGCCATTTCGTTTTATTTCTAGAAATTTTCCTACACTTATGTGTCCTAACCTTTCATGCCATAATCGATACTCAGCACTATTTGAAATCTTTGATGTAAATACTTAACTGTTCAAATTAAATTTTATAATCGGTACATTGTACTCACATATTCCATCAAATGCCAATTTACCATTTTTAGATACTTTAATGCCTCCAGGGTTAAACTCGATGGTCATCCCAGCATCCTGCATCTTCTTTACTGACAGCAAGTTGTGCGGAATGTCCTTACAGTACAGCACGTTTCGTAAGGTGATTTGGTTTTCAGAGCTGTTTAGGTTGACCACTCCTTTGGCTGTAGCGTATATGTATTCTCCGCGTTTTGCAATCTCAATAGGGACATTTGATTGCAAACGCTCATACTCGGAGAACAGTCCGGTGTCGTTTATGAGGTGATCCGACGCCCCTGAGTCTAGGATAAACTCAACCTCACTTGTGCTGGGACTTGTTGTTGCTTTTCTCATCATGAAAGCGAAACTACGCTCTGGTCGGGCTGCTGCTGTTGTTGTTGATGCCATCTGAGCCTGCCTTTCCTGTCCACTGTTTTCATTAAAATTCTGGTTTCCCTGCCTTTTTAAGAAAAAACAATCTTTCTTCAGATGACCTAGCTTACCACAATGAAAGCACTTCGGTTTTGGCTTAAATTGGGGCTTGAACGGTTTCTTGAGAAACTTCTGTAGTACCTTATTCTTAAATTTGTTGTCTTTCATCTCCTTTTTACCTATAGCTTGCAGAACTTTAGCACTCGTATCCCTGCCCATGTTTTTAAGCTTGATCTCCTGATCAAGAAGACGTGTTTTAACAAAAGCTAATGTTAAGTTACTTTCGGATAGAGTCTCTATTGCAGTTATAACTCCATCATAACTGGTTGGAAGAGTTAAAAGTAAATGGGAAACTTTATCCATATCGTCTAGCTTTGCTCCTGACGCGATAAGTTCCGTAATGAGATCATCAAAAATATGGAAGTGATTGAGGAGCGAAGTATCACCTTTTAACTTCAAACCTAAAAGTTTCTTTCGCAGTGATAGTTGCGATGCTAAGCTCTTCCTCTCGTAAATTCCATCTAAATTTGCAAAAATCTGTTTTGCTGTATTCTCACTGTTAGCAAAAACTAGAAATGAATCACTGAGATATTCGATAAATAAACTTTTTGCATTCCGTTCTGCCTTTTTAATTTCTTCGGTAACTTCTAACTGTGTTTCATCTACTACTTTTAATAAATCATGCTCTTCTAAGAGCGCTCTCACTCGAAACTTCCAGATTGAGTATTTTTCACCGTCAAACGGTTTTATGTTTCTCTTTCCCTTATCCATTGTTTCTTTCTTAGCCTCAACAGCTTAGCAACACTTTCTTAGCAACACAACACAGCTTAGCAACACTTTCTTAGCAACACAACACAGCACAGCAACGCAGTCCAGCAACAGCACGGCAACACTGCCCCGCAACACAGTACAGCAACACGCAGCCCAGCAACTTTTTCTTGGAAGCGTCGAATTTGTCGTGGCGGATCACTTGCGGCGAATTCGAAGCGTGTTCTAGAAATTTCGCAGCGAATTTGTTGGCGTCCTCCTGGAAATACAGAAAAAGTTTATGCGGCGAATTCGTCGCGGCGTCATTTATTAAGAAATTAAGAAATATAATCTGTGCGATTATACACCAATAAATTAACACAACTCATTTAATTTATCTTTATTTCATTTACATATTTGTCCTGAAAACGTGATACACATGTATATATATGTCCACATGCACACACACAAATTTGTCAATCGTTTTTCACTTTTATTCACCTTTTTTATTTTCACAATCAAAGAACTCTACTATTCATCTGTTGCTATTGTGTCTGGGCCCATAACCTATTGTATTTATTAAAAATTATAATACAATAAAGTATTATCCAAACCCGCAACAAGATAAAATAAGCAGACACTTTTTAATGTTAAACCGCATGCACTCGTTGTCAAAGGAGAAGTAAAACGTCGTGTTCGCGTGTACAAGCAAATGCCCAAAGTGTAGAAGAAAAGCGCAAGAAGATTCCGTTACTTCTTGCGATCTCCTCCTTCATCACACTCACACATGCAAGCATCAAATGAATGCATGTGCATCAATGTGACTTTTGCTTATATCTGTATGTTCATATTTTACAACACGCCACCTCAAAAGTTACATTGAGCAAAAACAAAAAATTTGACATACGAGATTGTGCTTATCTTTTAATTTCTTGTTTCTTTCTTAATTTCTGGGGATTACAATTAGATCCAGCATTCGCTGCAAAGAGTTGGGGAAACCCAGTAAAACCCAACTAGATCTACATATACAAATAGCGAAAAATTAACATAAATTCAAATTTTGAACAAAAGAAAATTGTAAAAATATTAAAGCATTTCACTTAAGGTTATACATAAATATTACTTTGTAAAGTATGATAAAGATTATTTTAAATATAACAAAAAACTCCATGAGCTCCATTTCTTTTGGTTCCAAATGGAAAAAGGGATTTCTTTTGCGACGTTTCAAATTTTTCGATGTCAATTTAATCGGAAAGGCCCAGTTGGCTTCTCAGAGCGATAAATCTTGCAGATGGTAATGGCTTCGTCAATATGTCGGCTAGTTGGAGATCTGTGGGAATATACTTTACACAAATTAGTTTCTTTTCAATTTGTTCCCTCGTAAAATGATATTTAATGTCTATGTGCTTTGTTCTCTTATGGCAAGTAGGATTATTGGCAATGCTGATACAACCTTGGTTGTCTTCAAAAATATCTATAGGACCATTTAATTCTAGATTAATCTCATTTATTAATGAATTGAGCCAAAGGGCTTCTCTAACACCTTCAAACAAGGCCATATATTCTGCTTCGGTGATGAAGCAGCAACCGATTTTTGCTTCATGGTACTCCATGAAATTAAGCAGCTTTCAAACATTTTAAAAAGATATCCAGTAGGGTAAAATTGCGCTTTAGCGGCTTTTGCTAAAAATGGTCTAGGAATTTTTTTTTTTTTTTTAATGGATACCTTGGGGCCTAAACATTAATAAAAAAGTGGCGGAAAGCTTGATTTCTAAGTATTTATTTGTAAAAATAGCAAAAAAGCAACTGGCCATAGCTTTTCTGGGTATTCACTCAGTACTATAAAATCACTCTGAGTCATTTCGCAACCTTTACAGCGCTCAGTAGTAAAATTGGCAGTGCCTGACATGGTAAAATTGTTAAATTTCTTTTGTTTTTAAATTTTCACACAATTGCAGCACTCTTCATCCACAACACATTCTCAACGGTAAAGTTTTTCGCTAGAAAAACATGGCAATGTTCTAAAACGGGTTGCCTCGCGGCAGTAATAATTGCAATTTTAACACATTAATAATTAAAATTTAAGCTTTCCGCCACTTTTTTATTAATGTTTAGGCCCCAAGGTATCCATTAAAAAAAAAAAAAATTCCTAGACCATTTTTAGCAAAAGCCGCTAAAGCGCAATTTTACCTAAATATATTCTGAAAATTTTGAAATAATTGATCAAGTAGTTTAATAAAAACTCCCAAAAATCACCTTTTTTTTTGGCCGTCACACTAGTTGTGCCCCTTATATTGTGTTTGGAATATTTAATAAAAAAAGCAACACTATTTAACACAATCCATTTGTGCCTTATCCCACCGTTCCTTAACCGGCACTTAGTCAGCGACGCTATTCTGACGCTGCCATTTCAACTAACTGTATTTTTGCGACATCTCTCGAAATCTTTATTGATTTGCTCAGCAACGTTTTCTAAAATGAACCAAACAATTGGTCGATTTATAAGTTCGTGGAGATCGACTTTTCTCGCTTGCGGACCTAACTTTTCTTTACCAAAGCAACGCAATGTTCTATTGTACCCAAATTTACGCAACACTAGTTTTTTTAACAAACGTAAGTGAAATAAGGTATTGTGTGTACCCTTGAAAATAATTGGTTTTACTTCTCGACCCTACAAATGCTATAGATTAAGAACTTATTGCAAGTATTTGCTAACCTCACAATATATGTCAATTAAGAAAATATTCACCCATATACATATATGTATGTACATCCATTCCGGAAATTTAAGAAATATGTAACTAATATGTACATACATACAGTAAGTCACAAAAGTATTCGTTGCGAAGCACCCTACGACTAAATACATGGCCAAAAAAAAGGGCTATATTTTTTTTTTTTTTTGCGGCGAAATGGGTAATTATATTTTATTGAGCTTAATTACATGCTATTGCTCAACTTTTGAAGAGTATTAGGAAAAAAATTATTGAAAAATATGGTAATACTTCGGAATTTTGACTCCAGCTACAGTCAGCACACAATTTATTCGGACGCTCACTATTGTAAAGTTTAACTGCATTTTTCACAGAACTTTCGTAATTTTAAAAACTTTTGTTTTACGTATTATGAAAACAGATATTTTCTGAAGCCACTAGAATAAAAAAAATTATTTTTTTACAATGCTCTAAGATCTAGTGAAAGAAATGCAAAATAAGTGCCTGAAATACGGCCCAAAAATTATTCGTACACTTTTCATTTATTGACTTTTATTTCTGATTGCAACGTAATTCGACGATTTTTTTTTGTTTTATATTAGGAAACAGTTAAGAATAGTCTTCAACGTTTTTTTTTTTGATTTTGGGGCTAGTTTTGCTACGTTTATTAATAATATTAGACGAAATAGGAGGTAGTCAAGATTTGTCTTTGTAGTTGCGAAAATTTATATTTTAAATGCATTTGGAGAATCGTATCTTTCGGGAAATTGGTAGAATCATTGACAAATCACCTTCCACAATACATAGCGTGATAAAAAAAAATTGCTGGACACATGAGATTTAGCTGCAAATCTCAGTAAAGCTGGTAGGCCCAAGATACTAACACCTAGTGAGGAGCGGAAAGACGTATCTACAGTCTTGCAAAATACAAAAACAACATCTACTAAAATTGAGAAGAATCTAGAGGAAGCTAGACAAAAAAAATTTTTGCCCAAACCAACCGCAACTACCTGTACAAAGCTGGTTTACATGGCAGAGTTGCTCTCCGAAAGACCTTAATTTCAGCCATCTACAAAAAAAAAGTTTTTAGCTCAAAAAACTTTATGTCAGCAAGTCGGATTCGTTTTGAAAGAACGTAGTTTTAAGTAACAAATCAAAATTCAACAAATTTGAACACGTCGGTCCTTCCTAAGTTTGGAGAAAGGCCAATTAAGCTTTGAAAGAGAACAACCTAATACCAACTATTAAGCATGGAGGCGGTTTGTGGGTGTGTAACTTCGTGTGGAGTCGGCAGAATGGTCTTTATAAATGATAAAATAAACAATAATAAAATAAACAAAATACAAAAAATTTTATTCTCAAAACTTGGATTTGAACCATAGAAATTCTTATTTTAACAAGTTAACTACACGAAGCATTCTTCCTATATGGTGCAAAAATGGCTTTTGCATCACAGCAAACAGCTTAAAAGAATTCCCTAATCTCCAAATTTAACCAAAATAGAACACGTATGGGACATACTTGAGAATAAAATAAGGAAGCCCAGTATATCCTTAAAGGAATCCTTAAGAATCGCATTACAGGTGGAATGGGATAAAATAGGCGTTATAAAGACAGCCAATTTGGTCAAAAAGATGGGTCGACGTTTAAAAGCAATAATAAATGCTTTGGGAACACCCATTAATTTAAAAAAAAAAATTCACCTAAAAAATATGTTTTTATCCCGATTCTTTGAAGTGTACGAATAAATTTTGTGCGAGAAAAAAAAGACTTTTTTAGGTTTTTTTGAAATATTACGTAGTATTAAAGCAACAAATTTATTATATAGTTTTTAAAATTTATGCTTAGAATGTTGTTCTTCAATATTAAATATTAACTTTTGATATTCGTTATATATTTGTCGAGTTATTGATGAAAAAGATTCGAAATCACGGGTGTCCGAATAAATTGTGTGCTGACTGTATATCTCAGCCCCAAAAAAACTTGGGAACCAAATTAACGGTTTTTTCGTAAGATAATAACCCCCTTAGGAGGGGCAGAAGGTTTTTTACCTTGGAAAATGGAAATTTCCTCGGAAAATCAGCGGAAAACTCTTACATGCACGTCGTGCATTTCCGCACTAGGGGAGATTTGAGGACACATTTTGGGTAATTGGCCCAAAAAAAACACTTTTTAATAAATAAAATTTTTCGATTTCTCGCACCGTTTACAAGATATAGAGCCTTAAATTTCCGATAATAGTGAGGGCTGGTAGCGGGCGAAAATACTTATTGCACATATTTTTCGTGTTTTCCGCTGATTTCCGAGGAAATTTCCATTTTCCAAGGTAAAAAACCTTCTGCCCCTCCTAAGGGGGTTATTATCTTACGAAAAAACCCTTGATTTGGTTTCCAAGTTTTTTTGGGGCTGAGATATAGCTGGAGTCAAAATTCCGAAGTATTACCAAAAATATTAAGGCAGGTTCTCACCTTGTAGAAAAAAAAATTGATTTTTTTTTTGGCTTATAGTATAGATATATGTTTCGAAAATGTTCTCAAAAAATTTTAGATCCAAATTTGAAATATTACAAAAAGTTACAGGCCCTTACATGGAGCACATGTCGAGCACCGGCCATTGGAAGCCAAAACTTTAAACGCTTTTATCTCGGAACCACGTTTTCGGACCTTACGGAAGTAATTGAAGGCGTTGGGGTTAACCAATTGTCATCAAATTTTTTTTTAAATGTTCCTAATTGTTTCCTTTAAATAATGAACTAGGATTATCCAAAAATGAATTTAAAAGCTAATAACTTTTGCAATTTTTTTTTTTCTGATCCTAGTTCATTTTATGCACAGTACTGTACACTTTAAGGAAGGGGGGGGGCATGTTTCATTTTTTTTTTTACGGCGAGCTTAATAACATGTTATTGTTGAAATTTTGAAGAGTATTAGAAAAAAAAATTATTAAAAAATATTAAGAAATAAGCCTGTGGCGGTTAATCTTCCGAAGCGCCTAAAGAAAAAGTTATCATAACTCGTTAACGGATTATCTTAAAAAAAAAGTGATATGCGCTGTAAACATAATGAATTTCTCGAGGTAATCAGGAAGAGTTTTTTTTTAAATTTATTTTTTGTCTATTTTTGGGAGCACTTGAAAGTGAGAAGTGCGATTTTAGCTCAAAAAATCGCTGTTAATTTTTTTTTTAAATAGAAAAAAATTAAAAATAAAAAAAAACTTTTCCTGATTACCTGCGTATTTATATTGAGAATTTGTGTTAAAAATTTGAAAAGGATCGGTTCAGTAGATTTTGAGTTCTGATGTTCACCTACTTTCAAAATAACGTCTTCGGCAAAATCGATTCAAAGTATTTTTAAACGTGAAAATAAGTCCAAATACGGTTGTTTAAAACGCTGTAACTCCGTTAGTTTGACTTTAATTGACTTAAAATTTTTACACAATGTTCTCGACTTATTGCTCTCTTAGAAAAAAAAAAATGCAAAAAAAAAAAATTGTTAACTCACACCCCATAAAGTATGTACATATATTCTTGATCAGCATCAGGGGCAGAATCGGAATACGTCTGTCTGTCTGTCCTCCTGTCTGTTTCTTTGCAAACTAGTCTCTCGGTTTTAAAGCTATCTTGCTGAAAATTTCCCAAAAGGTGTGTAGTTATTGCACGCAGTATATAAGTCGGAACGAGCCGGATCGGCCGACTATATAGGATAGCTCCCATACGAGAGAATGACTTAAAAAATTCTCAAGGTCTTGTTTTTCATTAGATCGAATGGTCGATTGATTGATTTCTTCAAGATGGCGTTTTCTAACTACTATTGAATTTCGGGTTAAAGGTTACCTCGACCCAACTGGATCTATTGTACCCCCTATCTGAGCTTAGAGCTCACCCATCAACCCGGCTCCTTCGATAAGATTAAGGAGCTTTATCGGGTCGATGCTTCCGGAGGTCCCAAGTGTAAGGAACCTGGACCCGAGGGTTCTGCTCCTCAGGCTACTTAGTGCTGGGCAATCTGATATTATGTGTAGGGAGGTTTCATCCTCGCTATCACAGAATCTGCATGTTTTCCTGTTTGTAATCCCTATATTAAATAGGTGTCTACTTAGTTTGCAATGTCCGGTTAGAAAGCCGGTAGCTATCCTAAGTGAACTCTTCACTAGTAGTATAAGTTTCTTAAACCACTTCATGTCATAATTGACGATGAGGGTTTTTGCTTGTCTTTGACCAGTGGTGTTTTCCCAGCAGGTTTGCCTCATATGTACCTTTTCCTTTCTTAGGTAATCTTTGATTGTGTGCCTGCCTATGCCACAGTAAGGCTCGGGCTCTATAAGGGGTCGTTCCGCCCTTAGTTTTGCTAGCCTGTCGGCAAGTTCATTCCCGGATATGTTTTTGTGTCCTGGAATCCGTCTTAATGACAGCCTGTTGTTGCTGCCCAGAAGGTTTAGCTTTGTTCTTACTTCTCGAACCAGCTTCGAGGTGATTCTATTGCTGCATAGTGCAGTAATTGCCGCTCGACTGTCCGAGAGGATCGCAATGTCCTTGTTTGTGTACCCACGCTTCATATTGAGCTCTGCACACCGTCCTATGGCGCAAACTTCAGCTTGGAATATGCTGGTGTATTGGCCTAACGATTCATGGTACTTGATTCGTGGTCCTACTACTCCAAGGCCAGTGCCTTGGTGTGTTAAAGACCCGTCCGTATACCATGCTATAGTGTGACTCGTCATGGAGTGTACTTCCTTCATGGTGGTCCATTCTTTCTTGTTGCTCAGATGAGCAGAGAAATTCTTTTCAAAGATGAATTCTACTGTCATTTCGTCCCTGGGGTGTGAGCTCAGGGGAAGTTTGACTAGTAGTTTTGCTGCATCCCTAGGACTGAGGATGCGGTCACTGCCATTACCACAAGATGTGATTCTTAGTAGGTTGGCCTTCCGCTGTAACTCCACTACGCAGTGTAGCGGAGTGAGTTCCATGAGAACAGTGCCGCAGTGGGGCAGGTTCTCATTGCTCCAACCCTTAAATTGAGAAAAAAGTTTTATAAAAATCGGACAACTATATCTTATAGCTGCCTTAGGAAAGATCAAAAAATCTATATAGAAATATCGGAAAAAAAATTATAACATCGTTGTTCTATAGTCAAAAATATGGAAAATGAATAGAAAAATCGTCTTAGCTTCGATGTTGTTTAGCCTTTATGCATTTTGTTCGACATATTTGATGACTGCTTCATCAAATAATGGGTATATAAGCTTGAGCTTGCGGAAGCTAGCTTCCTTTCTTATTTACTTTAATATTTACCGTATTTATATGGATGTTTATTTGATCTTGGGTCTTTGCGTTAATATTTATCTGCCTATTTTCTGATTCGATGAGTTCTTTTTGCGTGAATTTATTGGTTTCGAAGCCATCCAAATCTGGAGTACCGGCTACAACTTTTAATAAGATTCCTAATTAATTAATACTTCTAGACTGTGCGTGATGAGCATTTACGGTAGCTATGAGAGTCTTATTTTGTCTCATATGTGCCTAAGGGAAATGGTTTCTAATTTCTTCAGTTACTTACACTATTTCGAATGTTTGAGGTACTAATAATCTTTTTAAATAGTCGCATCTCCGTCAATGATTGACATGTAATTTGAAGTCTTGCACGTGTTTTGGATCGTCTTCGATTTTTACCTATTCAAAAAAATGGATCAAAGAACCTCTCAAATTTTTTGTAAAAAACTAAATTAAGTGCGTGGATGCATTCTGAATGTTGACATATGGCATACGGAGAAGCTACCTTGGATCGAGGCAACGTTTATCGGTGGTACAAAATGTTCTCAGAAGGCCGAAAAGAAGTGAACGACGAAGAGCGTGCCGGACGCCCGAGCACTTCAACAACAGACGAAAGAATTAATGAAGTGGAAAAAATGGTATTGGCCAATCACCAGTGACGACGACCAAATCCACAGATGGCGCCAACACTTCATGGAAATCAGCAACTCCGACATGCCTAGCAGCGATGCTATAGCGATGACTATAGAAGTGTTGCGCCAGCAAATGGGAACCGGAGAATATTACCGGCCCCACCCACAATGAGAGAAATCGGAAATGCATTAAAGAAACTGAAGAACAACAAAGCTGCCGGGACGGACGGCATTCCAGCCGAAATCCTCCAAGTTGACACTCAACTGATGGCAGAAATATTGCATCCGCAATTCTCGAGTGCATGGGAGAGCGAACACATTCCCGACTCCTGGAAATGCGGAGTCATAGTGAAATTACCCAAGAAAGGAGACCTTAGCGATTGCAACAATTGGAGAGGGATTACACTACTGAACACCAGTTACAAAGTCCTAGCCACAATTCTGATCAAACGCCTAACTGATAAATTCGAGCCCACACTAAGAGATGAACATGGAGGCTTCAGACCACACAGGAGCTGCGTAGACCAAGCCAACACCCTACGCATCATAACCGAACAAGCTGTGGAATGGAGAGCACCACTGTACCTCCTTTTGTATGTAAACACAAGCGTGGAATCACATGGAGCTTCATCAGACACCTTGAAGACCTGGACTACTATCTGCCTAATCTCTGACAAACTGAGTGGTATTCAATCCAAAGCTGATGACCTCGTGAATCTAGCCAGCCGTGTGGGTCTACAAATAAACACGGCAAAGACAAAAATGATACGCCTCAATCACGCCAGCCAAGAAAATATCATCGTAGGTGGAAACCCAATAGAATACGTCGAGAGTTTCCCATACCTTGGCACCGTAATCTCCAACAACGGTGGCGTGACAGAGGATGTGATGAGCAGGCTAGCCAAAACCAGGTCTGCCTTCGGGAGACTCTAACGCATATGGAGAAGCCGTCAAATGAGATGAAAAACAAAGATACGGATCTTCAACTCATGCGTAAAATCCGTCCTACTATACGGAAGCGAGACGTGGTTCACAACACAGATAATAATCCAGCAATTGCATGCTTTCACCAACATGTGTCTCAGAATAATATGCTTTTCTGATATGATTTTCTGGCCAAACAGAATCTCCAACATAGACCTTTGAAATATAACGGGTGAAACAGTAATAAGACTCCAAATCAGGAAGAAAAAATAGAGATTGATAGGCACCGCAATGCGAAAGGACCAGGATAGCATAGTTAGAATGGCGCTAGAATGGAACCCACTGGGAATCAGACGAGTAGGCAGACCCAAAGCAACATGGAGACGAACCGTCCTTCAAGAGTTGTCCCAATACAACATCACATGGGACACAGCGAAACAGAGTAAGATGGAGAAATTTAGTCGAGGCCCTATGCTCCCAGGAGGAGTTATAAAGGAAAAAAAAATTAGCACAGAACACAACCCGGAATCCCGTCAGGACCTGGGGAGTAAACTGGTGTGACAGAAGATGTGATGAGCAGGCTAGCCAAAGTCTGCCTTCGGGAGACTCTACCGCATATCGAAATAAAATGATAACATCGGACTACTGTGTCAAATAAACTTCCTGATTACCTTTTGATTTATGTAAAGATTTTGTGTTAAAATTTTGAAAATTTTCAGGGAAATTGATTTGAAGTTTTTTTATACGTCAAAATTCGGTCGTTTAAAATGTTGTAACGCTTTTAGTTTGACTCTGATTTGTGCACAATATTCTCGACAAATTGGTCTTAAAAAAAAAAAAATATAGAAAAAAAACAATTTTTTAAACCTTACCCGATCCGATCCGATCTTAATAGAATTAACCTTTTAATAGAGTACATACTTATCGTCACGATAAGTATATACTCTACTAGAGGTCCTGTGTCCGCTTCGCTAGTCAACACAATTTAACAACATAAAAGTCAATGTTGCAACATTTTTCAAATATATGGAAGTATAAAAAGAAAAAATTTTTTTTTTACATTTTTTTTTTTTAATTTTTTTTCTGAATGACCAATATGTCGAGAACATTGTGTAAAAATTTTGAGTCAATTAAAGTCAAACTAACGGAGTTACAGCGTTTTAAACAACCGTATTTGGACTTATTTTCACGTTTAAAAATACTTTGAATCGATTTTGCCGAAGACGTTATTTTGAAAGTAGGTGAACATCAGAACTCAAAATCTATTTAACCGATCCTTTTCAAATTTTTAACACAAATTCTCAATATAAATACGCAGGTAATCAGGAAGAGTTTTTTTAAATTTTAATTTTTTCCTATTAAAAAAAAAATTAACAGCGATTTTTAAAGCTAAAAAACTTTTCACTTTCAAGTGCTCCCAAAAATAGACAAAAAATAAATTTAAAAAAAAACTCTTCCTGATTACCTCGGGAAATTAATTATCTTCACAACGCATATCACATTTTAATTTTAAGATGATCCGTTAACGCCCTATGATGTTCACCGCAAAAGAACTTTTTCATTAGGCTTATTTCTTAATATTTTTTAATAATTTTTTTTCTAATACTCTTCAAAAGTTAAACAATAACATGTAATTAAGCTCAATAAAATAAACTTACTCATTTCGCCGCAAAAAAAAAAAATCAAACATGGCCCTTTTTTTGGCCTGCTGGCTGCAGGAGTGTTATCGACATCTGTTTTAAAGTAATTTAATTTAACTGCCACTTGGTGAGCACTATAAGAGTGTAGTGCTCACCCGGCTCTTACAACGGGTTTTACAGACTCGGTACCTCTCTGCTAAAAACTTTAAACTCAAAATAAAAATTAAAAAGTCCAAATTAAAAGATAAAAAGATATATTTAAGAAATAGAGATAGGGCTTTTAAAATAACTAATTTATTTATTTATTTTTTTTTTTTAATTGGTGAGTTGTGTATTTATATGACTAGTAGTCTGGACATGTTGCTTTCGATTTTAATGTTTTCTTCTACCCTTTTATTAATGATAAATAAGAATAAAAAATAGATTAAAATAGTTATAGTATGGTCCTAATCGAGATGCTTTAATCACAGCCTCAATAACATTTTTTTTTTTAGTTTCTGCCGAAGACATCTGGCGAGGAGTAACTGCGGTTAGCAATGCTGGAAAAAAAAGAGGCCGCGGAAAAGGCAGCGGAAAAAAAGTGGCCAAAGATCTAAACAAAGGACAAACCATCGGGTTTGGAAAAAACAGTCGCTTATGGCCCGGATTAAATTCAGCCGTCATACGAGGAAATGAACTCGTTCTTTCACAAAAACTTGTTGAAAACGAGGATAGAGAAAATGGAATTATGAAGCTGCGCGATTCAATGGGTGGTTTTAGGTTAATGAAATTAAATCCCATCGATCGGGGTTGGTCTGGAAGTAAAATGCCTGGAAGAAGTATTGGTCCACCTGACACTATTGGCGAGGAAGAATTTGTATCTTTTGATACTCGAGTTTTGGAAAACAAAATTGTTTTTATTATGAAGGGAAATATGGGAAGGAAACGAAGATTTTCGGTTTTATCTGTCACGGGAAATGGTAATGGCTTGGCAGGGTTCGCTACAGTTAAAGCGCCAGAAGTTAGGACGGCTCTTCGAAAGTCGAAGAATCGGGCAGGACAAAAGTTAATAAATGTAGGCCTTTGTGAAAATCGGACTATATATCATGACTTTCAAACAAATTTTGGTAAAACAAAAATTTATTGTTTTCAAAAACCAGATGGTTATGGCTTAGTATGCCATCGGGCAATACAAACAATTTGTAAAGTAATAGGTATCAAAGATTTGTATGCCAAAATTGAGGGCTCTACAAACCTTCAACATATTGTAAAAGCATTTTTTATTGGTCTAATGAGTCAAAGGTCTTATCAAAATATAAGTAATGAAACAAATCTTAACATTGTCCAACAGCAAAAGGCTAAAAATAGATGTACTGAAGTTAAAGGAATGCCACACAACAATTCAACTCTCGCAAATAATAACCAAGTCGTTGATTATATGAACTTCACACTAGGAAATAAAATTGTTTTAAAAAAACAAGGCATACAACCTTTTTATTTTTTTACAAAAGGACACAATCTACATCAAATTAAAGCAGAACGATTTCGAAATCAAGCTAAAGTAAGACTACACAAGTTAATCAATTGTTATGTTTGACTCGCTAAATACCAAATAAACCCACAAAATTAAAAAAAAAAATCTGTTTTGTTTTCAATTTAAGTTATTTATTATTATTATAAGGGGGGAATTGGCTACCTCAACCCAACCGGATCTATTGTACCCCCTATCTGAGCTTAGATCACCCGTCAACCAGTTTCCTCCGATAAAGTCAAGGAGCTTTGTTCTTCTTTGTTCAAGGTGCTCTACTTCTCAGCCTACTTAGTGCTGGGCAATCTGATATTATGTGTAGGGAGGTTTCATCCTCGCTATCACAGAATCTGCATGTTTTCCTGTTTGTAATCCGTATATTACATAGGTGTCTCCTTAGTCTGCAATGTCCGGTCAGAAAACCGGTAATGACCCTTAGTGAAATCTTCCCTAGTGGTATAAGTTTCCTAAACCTCTTCATGTCATACTTGACGATGATTTTAGCTTATTTTTGGCCTGTGGTGCTCTCCCAGCAGGCTTGCCTCATATGTACCTCTTACTTTCTTAGGTAATCTTTGATTGTGTGTCTGTCTATGCCACAATAAGGATCGGGTCCTATAAGGGGTCGTTCCGTCCCTAGTTTTGCTAGCTCATACCCGGATATGTTTTTATGTCCTGGAATCCATCATAGTGACTACCTGTTGTTGCTACCCAGAAGGTTTAGTTTTGTTCTTACTTCTCGAACCAGCTTCGAGGCCATTCCATTACTGCAGAGTGCAGTAATTGCCGCGCGAGTGTCCGATAGGATCGCAATGTCCTTGTTTGTGTACCCACGCTTCATATTGAGCTCTGCACACAGTCCTATGGCACACACCTCAGCTTGGAATATGCTGGTGTATTGGCCTAACGATTCATGTTACTTGATTCGTGGTCCTATTACTCCAAGGCCAGTGCCTTGGTGTGTTAGGGACCCGTCCGTATACCACGCTATGGTGTGACTAGCCATGGATTGTACTTCCTTCATGGTGGTCCATTCTTTCCTGTTGCTCAAGTGAGCAGAGAAATTCTTTTCAAAGATGAATTCTACTGTTATTTCGTCCCTGGGGTGAGAACTCAGGGGAAGTTCGACTAGTAGTTTTGCTGCATCCCTAGAGCTGAGGATGCGGTCACTGCCATCACCAGGAGAAGTGATTCTAAACAGGGTGGCTTTTCGCTGTAACTCTACTAACCAGTGGAGCGGAGTGAGTTCCATAAGTACTTCCAGTGCCGTAGTGGGACAGGTCCTCATTGCTCCTGTCATACATATGCACGCCAATCTTTGCAGCTTTTGTAGCTGCTTAGCTGCTGTAGCTGCCGTAATCAGCCTCGCTCTTTTAGCCCAGGCTACTGAACCATATGTGAGTATTGGCCTCACAATCATAAGGTATAGCCATCTGATGATTTGGGGTGAGGTCCCCCAAGATTTCCCTGCAATTTTCCGACAGGTGAAGAGAGCCCTGGGGCACTTGTCAACTGTCTTTTGCATGTGGGTTGCAAACGTTAGTTTCCTGTCAAGGGTAATACCGAGGTACCTAACTTCTCGACTTGTTGCTATAAGAGTACCTAGTAGCATGATTTGTTTCATTTTCTGTAGCTTATACCAAAGACTATAGAATATCAAGATGTTGCATCCCATACAAAAAATTTTTCGTTTCTGTTTCGAGCTTCATGATGCGGTCGGTCGGGGTAAAAAGGGAAAATCTAAAAATAGAAACACGACGAACTGCTGCTTTCGGCTTTCGTCTTCGTTTTTAATATTCGTCGTGTTCCCAAATTGGGATTTTGTTCACAGCTGGCAATTTTCAGTTTATCGGGCTTTATACACTTTACAATAGTAGAAGGTTATATCAGACTTGTAAAGCATTATTATTTTATTTTCTTTAATTTTCATTTAAATCATAATTTTTCGTTTATAATAATTAAATTAAAGAATTCATAGGTGCAATATTAATAATGTTCCTTATTCAGATAATTGTGTCGTTAAATTTTCACGCATGCGCGTGTACATACGCGTGTCAGGGTATTTTGCTGCTCACCATGATACAATTATACAAGGTAGTCCACTCGGCTTGCCGAAGTCGTTCGGTTTTGGTCCCTTATTTTCAGTGCGTGCCTGCTTGTCAAACTGAAGCACAATGTAGCCGTTTCACTCACACTTACTTGACAAAGTTAAATTAGGGGACTATGGATTTTGCCGAGTGGACTACCTTGTATAATTGTATCAGGCTGTTCACCACTTGCATGAACGCAAAAAAAATTATATTATAAAAACAAAAAATTTAAAAAAAAATGTAAAAATAAAATAATTAATTAATTTACACAAAAAAAAAAAAGAAAAAAAAACAATTTATGATATGGCTGGGCTCGGCGGGGATACGAACCCGGGCCTTCATGTACACGAGGCATAGCATCTACCACAACACCACCGTGCTTCATGAAGCGCGGCGAACTAATTGAGTATATGGTCTTAGCTGCCTTTAAAAGTGCAAAGTCATGTGGGTCTCCATATCAAGACCCACCATAGAACGATTTTTTTGAGGTCATGCAACATCTTGATATTCTATAGTCTTTGCTTACACTTAGTAAAAGAAACAATGATTGTTATTGAGGGGTTGAGATTAAGCCCAACTTCCCTGCACCAGTCCAGCGTTATCTTTTGTCCGAGTTGGACAATATCGCAAAGCGTTCCTTCAAATTTCCCTCTGGCTACTATTACTATGTCATAAGCATAGCCCTGGCATTGTATACCTCTATCGGCGAGCTTCTTTAGTAGTTCATCTACCAGTAGGCCCCACAGTAGAGGAGATAAAACTGCTTCTTGCGGACATCCTCTGCTTGTTGCGACGGTCATTGTGGTAGTGCCAATCGTCGTCATTGCCTGTCTGGAGCTTAGCAAAGCTCCAATCCACCTTCTTGTTGTCGCATCAATATTTCTTCTGGCGAGGGCCGCTAAGACGGCATCGTGCGACGCATTGTCAAAGGCTCCTTCTATATCTAGAAAGGCGTAGATTGCCACTTCTTTGTTGTCTACTGCCCCCTCAAAAGTGTGACAAAGTTGGTACAATGCTGTGTCTGTTGAACCTGCTCTGTATACGTGTTGCGTGGACAGTCTTTGAGAACTGTGCTCCTAATATGCTAGTCTACCAGCGAAACGAGGTTAAACTGATAGGTCTGAAGGACTTGGGGTTGGTAATGTGTTTCTTCCTTACTTTGGGGATGAAGACCACCCTAGCTCTACGCCACGCATTTGGGATGTGTCCAATTGCTAGGCTACTCAACATCAGTTTCCTTAAGCGGGTTAGGAGTAAGTCCCTACTGCAGGAATGATGGTGAGATGTTGGTGGGAAGGTCCTAATTGCCCATTTAAGCCTCTCCGTAGCGACTAGAGACTTGGCAATTGCCAAGTTTTCTGCGCTCGGACTGGTCTCTACTTCCACTGGGGTGGACGCATCCTCTACCAGGGGTGAGCTCCAGGGAAGTGTTTTTTAAAGAGTAATGCTAGTTTATCCCTGTCATCGGATTACATTTCCTCAGGGCTAGGCTACTTTCTGGTGCAGCTTTGGCCATAGCCCTGTGCAATCCTGCCCCTTCATGGGATGTGCTGAATGCCTCACAGAAGTCTCTATAGTTCTTCCTTTTGGCCTCCCTGAACTCTTTGTTGTAGAGCGTCAGGCTTTGCTGGTAATGTCCCCAGTTTTCCTCGCTCGTTTTTGCTCTGTTAAAGAACCGGCGGGTGGAGATGCGGAGGTTTAAGTTATGTATGTACTTAATTAATGCTCTTATAACTTTTGGTCGGTAGGTTGTATTTCAAAGTTTGCAATAAATGAAAAGTTCAAATCTTGTCTACGGCAAAAACAGTCGCTACTTCTTCTTACGAGACTAACAATAAATGTATCGAATCTTATGCTATAACCTAACTATCAGTCATCTAGACTGGAACAGTAAAAATGGCCCTGAAAATTTATGACTGGGTTGGAAGGTCGTTACCAGAGAGCTGCAACGATCACAATTTTTTCGATCATACTCGTTCATTTACTCGGATTTTTTGTGATTGAAAACATTGGTTCAATAAAAATGTATGGTCGTAAGCGATTGTGCTCAAAGCGAACATTCAGTTCTAATCACTCAGGCTCAGTTCCGAATGATTTTGTTCGATCGAACCGTTTTGTGTGAGCGGCAAGGAATGTTCGAGAATGGTGCTTACATTCAGTTCGAGTTCAATCACACCGACTGGCCAGACCGCGTGGTGATTCTATTCAACCTGTCGAACTATGTATTTATTTTGTGCACTTAAAATTAAATATGGAAATCGAATCGGCGAAGAGTGTTGCTGACAACATACAAAACGGAAAATCACATTATCTAGCAAGCGCAAAGGAAGAAATTTAATATGGAGCATACTTAGCGAGATAATAAAACCGGACAATACCATATAAAAAGGATTTGCTTTCTGTCGCACTTGTGGTCAGGTTCTAAAGTACATCGGGAGCCAAACATCTAATTTAAATAGGCACAGCTGCCGCAAGAACGTAAAGGAATCCCAAAATTTAAAAACTGTCTCGTCGCTGGTTTTTTATTCGGATCGGCGCAACTTATGGCGAGCACGTCGACGTGGAAGACATGCTACCGGATCCAACCACTGTTTCACGGAAAGTCTCAAAGTGTGCCAATGAAAAGAAGGAGGAACTGAAGTCTGAAATCCATAAGATTGTGAGTCAGCCACAATTGATATGTGGTCGGATAACTATCTTAAGCGAAACTTTTTGGGAGTAACATTCCACTACCAAATAGATTTCAAATTCGTTGATCTAATTTTGGGAATAAAATCAATGGATTTTGAAAGGTCAACGGGCGACAACATTTTGAAAAAACTTCAAAGTCTATTTAACGAATTTGATATATCAAATATTGACAAAATTACGTTTGCAACGGATCGAGGAACAAACATTTTGAAGGCCTTACAATGTAATAACACTGTGCGACAAAATTTAACAAAATCTTTGTTTAAGTTACTTTTTTGATTGTTTTCGGTTAAGGTGCATAAATTATGCACAAAAATATTTATGCCACCT